TTGTAGTATTTTTTATTGAAAATGTTTAATTCTTGCTTTTTGCAATATTTATGTGGTGAGAATATTATTTTAGTTACAATATAATTGAAATGTATATGAATTCTATTTTGCTGTCAAATATTTGCATTTATTTACAAATAAACTTTCGTCTCTTTGTTACACGGTTTTTCGAATGAAATATAGTCCTTTATTTCATTTTACACGGTTTTTTTAATAACTTCAAACGTATCTCCCATTTTACTACAGAAAACGTACTTTTTTTACACGATGTTTTGAGGAAGTATCTTCCGTGTGAAAAAGGAGTTGTGTGTACAATTCGAAGCCACGTCACAAAAGATAATACATTCAGAGTTCCATTGTTCCAAAGAAATAAGTGATCTACTGTTACCCATGTTCCCCAACTGGCTTTCGTATCTACATCAGTTACAATAAATCGCTTATAATTTCTGCGCCACATTTTTTACAACAGATCGTTACTAAAGTCGTCATTCAACCGCGACCCTGTCAGAGGTCCTGGAACATTTCCAAAATTCGCGAAGTGTCATTCGACCGAACCGACTCTGAAAATGCATCGAAACATCATCAAGCCCGTGGCGTTCCACCAGGCTGCCAGCTCATCGTCCTTGAAGCCGATGACACAGCCCGGTGGAAAAGCGAGAAAAAGAGTCACACAGCGGAGGGGGTATTCGATTCTTTGTTTTCAACTCGAGTGACTCCTGTCAGCGTGATTCTAAATATAAGAGAATTTGGCTTACAATGTGTAGGGCAGGGTTGAGTAGGTTTGGGTCAGTTTTCAATTAACTTGCAGTAATGATTAAATGAAAGACAAACACGCTTTAAATCTGAAGAATGGTAATCAGTAAGGTCTCACCATCGATGTTCCATCATGATTTAATTTTATTATTCTAAAGGAATCTTTAAAAATATAATAGTTCTTAATGTAGTTATTTGACCCATACCTTCTTTATGGCGGGAGATTTGGTTTAGATAGTGCGAATATATGGGTCATTGAATTTTTGTATTGTTTTTGTAAAAAATATAGAAAAGTTTAATGTATGTATATATTTATTACCTACAAACTACTACCTACAACTACTACCTACGTACATCACTGATGATGCATGTATACTACATATGTATAAATGTAATGAAGGAATAATAAAAATTTCTTTATAATTTTCATTATTAAAAAATTAATTTTTCAAACAACAAAAAATGATTATAGTAGGGCAATCCTGGATTAAATAGTTTCCGAGATATAAATTCTTAAGTACCTAAATCGCTGTTTCACGAAAATACCCAAGCATCGTAAAATGCAGTGGCTTGTATTTTTTAAACAAATTCAGGAACAGAAAAATAATTAAATAAACCCCCCCTAATTTCATGTGGACTACAACACATTTGATTTTGAACAAAATTCTGATAGCGAGTGCATCATACACATCACGTACTTCATTTAAAGAATGACAAGTAAAACCCTAGGACTCAACGCATCCCATCTTCCTATCAAATTTATTTCTCCTAGCGCCCGAAATAAGTGTCTCCACCGACAAATATAGTATGTATAGCGACACGATAGTTTCTGTATTCACTGCACGCGGCTTATTCTATAAGCTACGATTGCGAGATGTTTCAGGTTGATGCTCCTTGTCCCCGTCTCGAAATAACCGGATACGCCCTCGTTACGACGATTTCGTCTCGCCCCTTCTCTTCCCTCGCTCATTAGCGCTCCAAATGAATCGCTACGGCTCGTCCACCCCTACCATACCAGCTCGCCGGGGAGAAAAGTTAACAGTCCGCTTAATAACGATACCGCGGGCGGCGATCGGGATTTTTCGGATCCGTCGGGGAGTTTTAATTAACGACGAGGAGATAATAAAAGAGAGGGAACTCGAGGGAAACTGCGGCCCGAGAAGGGCCGCGATTAAAATAGAAAACTGGGTCGACCCTGAAGCCAGCGACCGAGAGTAGTCCCACCTAACAACGAGTATCGAGCACCTGTTCACCTAAAAGGAAGCTATTTTCGACCGAAGGTAGTGACATTTTTCAAATTTCTGAATTGAATCGTTCGGGGAGGTAGTGGGGATGGAATATTTTCGAGTTCAATTGAAATCTCGATCGTCTGAGATGAACTTCGTCAAATTATTTTTTTCTTGTAAAGGGAAAACTATTTTGCAAAAAGGTAATCGAATAAATCGCGAGGTAATTCACTCATTTTCCGAAAACATTACGTTTTTACCTAAAAGGAAGCTATTTTCGACCGAAGGTAGTGACATTTTTCAAATTTCTGAATTGAATCGTTCGGGGAGGTAGTGGAGACGGAATATTTTCGAGTTCAATTGAAATCTCGATCGTCTGAGATGAACTTCGTCAAATTATTTTTTTCTTGTAAAGGGCAAACTATTTTGCAAAAAGATAACCGAATAACTCGCGAGGTAATTCACCCATTTTCCGAAAACATTACGTTTTTACGTAAAAGAAAGCTATTTTCGTCAGAAGGTAGTGACATTTTTCAAATTTCTGAATTGAATCGTTCGGGGAGGTAGTGGGGACGGAATATTTTCGAGTTCAATTGAAATCTCGATCGTCTGAGATGAACTTCGTCAAATTATTTTTTTCTTGTAAAGGGAAAACTATTTTGCAAAAAGATAACCGAATAACTCGCAAGAAATTCACCCTTTTTCCGAAAATGACGTTTTTACCCCACTTTCGGAATTCACCAGGTGCGCAACGTCACGACGCACGGTGGTCTGGGAGTGGCTTTCCGTGGCAAAAATTACAAACACCTTCGCATCGACTTTTTTGAACAGAATATAATCAATTAATGTAACTAGTATACCTAATATAATAAATATAACTAAAAAATACAATTATTATAATTAGTCCCATACTGTGTAATTCAAATTAGTGTAATTTAAAGATTACCTGAAACATGGCTCACCACTGTCATTAACAGCTCATTGTGCAGTTAATTTTAATTTCTGCATTTTCACTAGTAACTTATGCAATCACTAGATCTATCTAATCGCTAGACTGTGGATGTTCATTCAAATTCAGAATTTTAGACATTAATTTATAAAAATGAAAATCAGATAAAAATTTCTTTCCCGTATTAAATGTATTATTATGTTCTAATAAGTGTCATTAAGTTTTACTAGATATTTTACTGCATTTTGCATGTTAAAATTTGCTATGAATGCATAAACATCCGCAGTCTACTAATCACAGAATCATTTGAATGGAAAAATATGTATGGATTTTGAAGCTTTCACAGATTGTCAATTCACAGGAAAGAAAAGACTGTTTTTCAAAACATTAAATTTGAAAAATTGACTTCTGGCCACGAAAAGTGTGTTTCCAGACCACCGTGTGACGTCTGGTATTCAAGACCCGTTGCGAGAATATAATAGCGATGTAAATTTTCCTTCGACAACATAAAACAACAACTATTCTCCTTCGAAGCGTACCTCTCGACCCTTGACAACGCAGCACCGTTTTCTTTAGCTCCGCGTGCCATTTCTTTCAAAAAGACGGTTTTTCGTTCTTATTCTTTGTACGGTAAACCTCGTGTTTTCGAACGATAACTGTTCAGCACAGGTGGGCACAATTTTATTCGAACAATACATACTGACAAGCAGCAGTATCTAAGATCGTAATCCTGACCTTTAAACAATTAATAAGATTAAATAATTATTTGCAAAGTGTCTACTAATTCAAGAAGAAATATTATTTTACGATAAAAATTGGAATTACCACGTTCAATCAAGTAAAAATGGCAAAATATTTTTTGCATCTTTTATTCGTTATTCGAAACTTTTTATCTAGATAATGAATTTGCCCATGTCTGCTGTTCAGCGACGTGAAAAGAGAAGCAATTTTTGCGTTGAAAGGCGGTTCGGAGGATTCACGGGCGAAACGCGACAGAAATCGAGACCTCGGCGCGAACGAACGAACGACAATGATCTTGACCTCGCACGAATAAACGGCGTCGACGTAGACCGAGGTCGTCTCTCCGCGTTTCCGCGTAAGCGCGCACGCGTTCGGTTACGCGGCTGCATTAATAAACATGAAAGCGACCGGGAACTGTCGACATGGATCTCGTACATAGCTCAATCACGCGACGACTGACCTTAAAAAACCGTTGTCGATGACGGAAAAATTGTTCGATTCGTGTTTATCGAAAACAAAGGATCCTAATTCGACGCCGGGACATTACGATTCTGTTTAGAGATGTACCGACTAGGATAGACGTAGAGACACTATAACCCACCTTAACTCGTACGAATTAAATTAAATAAAATAATCAAAGTCTGGACTCGAGACAGCCACTTTCGATCGGTTCGCTATATCTTCGCAATTCCCGCTGATTTTTAAATCTATTAATTATAGTAATTTTGGTAATTATCGAGAACATGATCCTCAGCACCGATTTTAATAACTTTGAAATATGTTATCAATACCATCAACAACTTTTTCCTATACGTATAATAAGCGATCTCTAAAAATAATAATTATTATTTATTGAAAGGAACTAAATAAGTACCAATTAACTAGGAACTTTGTCGGTATTTCTTAATCTTATCATGTCAACAGATTTGATTTCTTGAAAACGAAGAAACATTACGTAATAAAATGAGTATATAACAAATAGTGTTAAAAAATTATCTCTTTCAGTTCGTAACATCGAACAATCACAAATTTAAAATCGTTTTTCGTAATAAAGGTAACTGGAGCTGTACCGATAATTAAATTTTTTTTATTTATCATACGAACGAAATTGAAAATGATCGGCAGAGCAGACTAGTCGACTTCTTGAGTGGAGGGGGATTAATCGGCTAGTCGGGCAAAACCTTATTCTGTACATCTCCAATTCTGTTGTCTTTCAAAGTTTGAGAACGTCGACTGTTGATCCTTGAATTAAGGTGAACGTCCGTTACTTCAGACTATTTACAAACACGCGTTCGTTGGTAGAACCGTCGAGTCAGTCGTTATTTGAATTCCGTATCGAATTGTCCGTACTTTATCCCGACGAACACCAATCATCGAGGAAATTTTCGATTGCTGAAGGAAAACAGTGCGGTGTAAAAAGATTCTCTATCGAGCCGTAACGGTACACCATTTCGTGCGGTGGATCGTGATACCGAAGAACGCGATCCGTAACAAGTATTCCCCATGAAACGGAAAAATTAAGTAACCCACGTGTGCTTGTTAGTGCGCGAATAACAATTCAAGTTCAGCGCACAAAGGACGGCCCTGTTACGCAATCCGCGGGCCGCCGACATTGGTGATAATCATCGGATTACCAGCGACACGCAATCGACCGTGGTTTCTGCTGGATTCCCAGTAGAGAATCTCAATTCACTGGTCAGTAGTCCTATGTGATTAGTCTGTGTCAAACGTTACTTCGAACAACACTGATCTTTTCTGTGGCGTTCACGAGTATCCCGGTGAACTTTGTTCCGTTCGTTGGCCAGATCTTGGCTCACTGTGCACGATTCTTCCGCGTTACTTGAACCAAATAAACACTATCGATAATAACCAGTAGCAAGGGAAGTACAGTAACCGTTCTTAAAGTTTTCGGCGGGGATCAAGTACTTTGGAAGACGGGGTCCTGTGGGACAATGTTTCTCCGGAGCTTTAACTTGGAAATATTAAAAGTTGTAACTTCGTGGGGTACAGGCGTTCGCGTCTTTCATCGGTGTTAAGGTAGTTCATACCTGTGACTCTCTAGTCAATAAAACATCATATTACTAATTGGTATTAAACAGCCATTAATAGATTTTAATAGTGTAACAAAATTATATCTATGAATTTCAACGACATTTCCAGTGATCAGTCTTCATTATATTATAAATAAAAACTATATTTTGGTTAGTCGTGTGACTCTACTGTGCTCGTTTCTGGTACGTTCGGCAACCTTATTTTTGTACGCATATATCTATGTAAGTGTGCGCGTGTTCAGTTTTCCCACGTATATTCAATATTCTTATATGGAAGGTTAATTACATTCTCGTGCATTATAATTTAGAAAGTTAAAATTCACTAAAACACAAAGTAAGTCAAATATTTTTTGTATTTATTATAATATCGTGGGTATGATCCTACTTCAGCAACATTGGCAAGTCCTCGACATAATTCCAATAACCGTCTAACTACCGACACATCCTGGATTTTATTGTCAAATATCTTCTTGAAATGTTCGGCATGGTACAAGATTTAATTCATCGTCAGAAAGCTCAGGATTTATATTTTCAGTGCCTAGTTTTTGATTAACACAGTTCGAGCTTCTATGAAAAGGAAAGATCCAGTAAGAAATCGTAAGATTTCCATAAGAGCTGTGTCAAAAACTGAATTTTCGATAAGCTTTTCCTTATTTATTTCATCGACGACCTAGTCTCAAATTTTTCGAGTGCGTGTATTTCGTTCCAATAAACAATCTGTATGAATGTTATTTAATTATCTAGTCTTTTGAATTTAGCACGAACCACCTTAAGGGTAAAAAAAATCGATATTCCCCTTTTTGAAATTTTCTCAAGTCTCATTTACTCATTCTTAACCTCTTGCCATAAAATTTCTTTCACGATTTCACTCTGAAAAATATCTTTATCGTTAATATTTTCTCAGATACAAAAGGAATTCTATTCTTATGACAAAAGTTACATTTATTCGAAACCTTAAATGTTAATACCAGCGGAACAGTATTTCATGCCGATTGAAAAAAAAAACGAATAATATACATGTTTACTAAATTCACTTTGAAATCGTTATCACGTGACTGACTCGATGTTGTAAGGCAAGGGGTTACTGTTCAAGAACATACTATCAGAGGCCTGTGTTTATCGATCGGTGGCTGTCTCGTTCCTTATCGGATGCTCTGTGTATTTCTGAACACCGTGTGCGACCGTCCAGATCGAGTTTTATGAACCTACAGTGTGTACCAGGCTTTAGACGGCCGACAAAAATCCTCCCAGCTGGTTCATCGACCAGCAAAGAAAACGATCGCCTCCAGTGCAGAAAGCTTCCCCGAGCCCCCTCGATCTTCGGGGCTGGCCGCTGCGGCCTAAGGCGCGAAAATAGAGTCCCGTGGATCGTCGGTGCAGCCGACACGACGCGACTGCTAGAACGCGCGGCTACGCATTTAGTCTTTAACTGGAAGCATCCGCGAGCGGAACGTGGCGTCGTCGCGCCTCGAACATCGTGTCGTTCGATCGAGAAGTCGAGTTTTCCGCGATCGAGCTGCGGACACGACCCAAAACGCGCGGCTGGTTGACGGGCCTCGATCTTTCCGATGGAAACGGGTCGTGTTTAGGGTTGGGGAGGACAACAGCCGGGCATTCCTTGGCGAAGGATGCAACAAGTGCTGCTGCGTCGTCGTCGCGCGATTTCCAAGAACCAGGCGTCGTTATGTAGAGGCTACCTGCGTCGGGAATTCCATCAGCCGTTCGAGAATCGACGCTCCAATCTTCGTGGCGGAGCAATCGTCGCGATAAATTGACGGCTCGCGACGGAATTGTCACCGGGGTTCTCACATCCCCACAGAAATGATCGTAACCGAAGTCGTGGAAACGGCTGAAATAGACGGTGGCGTTGTTTAAAGGGTCCCAGAAGCGACGATGAAAGTATATGTCTGTGTACCAATCGCCACTTCTCGATCCGTTGTTTCGTCGAGATCGATTGAACGATCGCTCGACGTGGTCCAAGGAGGCTGCACGAAACTACAGAAGAGAGAATTCTTGGTGAATTCGTTTCCTCTGTACGACTCTCCTTCGCCCGATTCTCTGTAAGCGTTCTTCATACCGATGATCTCTCCCTCTTCGACTGTTGGAGAGTTCCTCGGAATTATTTTTTTTTTTTTTTTTTTTTTTTGTATTTCTTTAAGCATCTTAACACTTCGATGTTGCAGTTGGATGAGTCGGATCAAAACGACGTGTATCTAAATATCTCTGTATATGAGATAGAGAGAGAGAGAGAGATAGAAGTTGCGGGAAGTGGAATGGAATCCAAAGAGATCGCAAGTCGTCCGGGTAGTGTCGATGAAGACCCGTTCGTCCGGATGCTCTGTAAAACGGTCCCCCGATTATTGATCGAAAGCTTTCTCGCTTGTGTCCACTGCTGCATGGACAAAATGCCGAAGGGAATGTCCCTGGGTTGCCTGCGAGTCCTGGCCGCGATGCTGGTGTTCGTTCTACCCCGAACGATCACTCACGTTCTGCTGTATCCGATTTTCAGATTACTATTCGGAAATCTCTATCCTGCCTACGCATCGTACAAGGCGGTCAGAACGAAGAATGTGAAAGAATACGTGAGTATCCGCCCGATAACTGGAACCGGCCACGATCCAACCCTCCCTCCGCCGCGGCACAGTAGGACAATACCATAAAATGGGTGGAATTAATAAAAAAAATTGTCATGTCATGAAATAAGTTCAAATTAGAATTATTCGTAAGCTTATACTAGTCGCTTGAAAAACATTGAACAGGTTACGGACCTCAATGACGTTACATATGATTGCATTTGTTTTGTAAACAGCTAGTCGAATGTCTTTTTCACGTCTCGAGTGTTTATGCCACGTTCTGTTTCTTGGCGAATATTTGATCAAATAACAATGGATTCTTATAGTGCAGGTATTTATCTGGTTTGCTCAGAAACTGTTGGATTTTCACCTATTAAAATCGTAATTCATTATTATAGTATCACATAAAAAGATATTCGATTTTTGTATATCCGACTAGATTGAAAGTGTAACATTTTTGGTGTATGTAGGTTTATCAAAATTTTTCCAGTATTACGTTCAGTAAATATTACTGTTGATATTTAGCTAAAATTTAGGTACATCAATTCGCAGCTACAATCGTGAGAGAAGTTTTTGTTTTAAGAAATAATTTCGTAATTAAAATAATTTTCTTTATTAAAACGTCGAAAACTTCATTCTTTATAATTAATTCCGCCTATTTTATGGAATGGCCAGCAGTAGCACCGCTTGGCAAAGGACAAACAAACGTACACGTTACACGAAAGAACATTGTACAACGGAAATCGTGTTTATCTAAATACTTGATTTCTCGTTAATTTACGACCTTCTGTGAAATGGAAATACATCGTGTTGTATCTCGTTGAATTCGACTCAAAAAATTCTATCATATTATTAACAAATAAGTACGGCAGTCCATATTAAAAAATTACGGTTCCTTCAAATTTGTTGCACCATTGCTTATGGAAAAACTGTGTACACCATGTATCGTGCCCCACTGTACCAGAAAATTTTTATAGAAATAATTTTTTCATATCTTTATTAGTTTACGGATTATGATTTTTTTTTTCCAGTTAGAATCGTCATTTGGTCTTACTGTGCGCCGCGCGCGAAGAACAGCGAGAAGGGCATTCGTGGCCGTTTCCATTAGAAACGATTACGTTTTAATGATCCTAATCAACGGAGCTTTGGCTCGAGCGCGTTTCGAAGAACGAGCGGATTCGTGTGTCAGACCTATCGAGCCATCGATAACACCTCGAACAAGCCTCCGCTATTAAATATTTGTTTAACGAGTGACGGACGAATTCTCTCTCGATTACGATCACGGAAACAAGTCAGAGATTCGAAGTGATTTATTTTTCTGTTCTTCGAAGAATCACGATTAACATACGCAAATAAGTTGGACGGTAATAATCTCGAAATGAATTTCAGAAGATCCACTGTGAATTTCCATCGGTAATTTTCAATGTTTCTGCACCGATAATTCGATTTGCATCCAATGTTCACAGCATTCTCAGCTATTACACGGCCTTTTTTTCCATTTTCCCCGCCCCTTTCGTCGCGGAAGCCGGAGAATAATATTTATGTTTTACGTGGAAACCGAGTAATGAATTCTCCTATAACAGATATAATGTTATTTTGGCGCCGAGAAGGGGTCTGCACGTCTCAATCCGAGCGTTCTGAATCTCCTTTTAGGCGATTATATTCTGCCCTTATTGGTTACGACGCGATTGGGCATTGCTGTGTTAAAGCCGTTCCGTTCTTTCGTTTCCAGGTCAAATGGATGATGTACTGGATCGTGTTCGCGCTGTTCACGTGCGCGGAAACCTTCACCGACGTCTTCTTTAGCTTCTGGTGAGAGACATTTATAGTAACCGTACACGCTTTATTGCTCGTGGCGGCGCCTCCCCTAGAATCACGCTAATTCGGTCCGGCCCGAAATTAACAAGAGGTACCTGTCTCTGTGCGAGTTGTAGAAGCGACGTTCTAACTCGATTATTGACAGTCGAGGGAGACTGTTCGTCCAGTCAGAATGGAAATTCCCCTCCGAATAGAAATTATACCGAAAATTCTGTTTATAAAAGAATATTCATCGTTGATTCCGAATCGCTCGGCGGGAAGCCTCGGTATACGAAGTATATTAAAAAAGGAACGAGAATTAGTTTTTTTCTTCTCAGAAATTCTTTATTTATTCATCGATGTTGATATTGTCCCCTTCGAAGTATTCCCCCTCGGATCCTTTTTCTACCTTTCAAATTTGAAATATTCATTCCTTTATAGGATGTAAAGCTATTTAAGAAGTTTTTAATCTGCCCGTTTTGGTGTACGTATATATCTAGGACTCCGACAACCACTAAAAAAATACGTTGGCCGTTCCTGGCCGCTTGACATGCCAGCGAAAAATTTAAAGGTTTGAAGGACCCGAATCTCTGCTGTTTTTACGAAGTCACTCTCGGGGAGTAGCTATACAGGGTGCGGTCGAATAACATGTACAAGCGGGTACGATGTGATTCCTTATGAAAAAATAAGAAAAAAATGTTTAAACCTTAGTTCTCGAGAAAATCGACTTCGAAAATTAATCTGAAACGCGTGTATTCCACCATAGTAGTAAGTAGAAACCGAATGCAATGAACAGACGCGCCAGCCCAGTCCTATTCAATTACCCCCGTCTTTAGCAGATTTTTAAAGTCGATTTTCTCGAAATCTAAGCCTTAAATGAAAAGATTTTATTCCATATTTCGTTCTTATTTTTTCATAACGAATCATCTCGTAACCGTTTGTACATGTTATTCGACCGCACCCTGTATATACTCTAGTGCTCACGAACACGAGTGTGGCCGAGTTAACCCCTTGCCATACAATTTCTTTTACGATTTCACTCTGAAAAATATTTTTATCGTTAATATTTTCTTAGATATAAAAGGAATTCTCTTCTTATGGCGAATGTTACATGTATTCGAAACCTTAAGTGTTAATACCAGCGGAACAGTATTTCATGCCGACTCGAAGAAAACGAATAATATACATGTTTACTAAATTCAGTTTGAAATCGTTATCACGTGTCCGACTCGATGTTGTAAGGCAAGGAGTTAAATAAGGAAGAGAGGTCAAACAAACGGATCCCCCATCCTCTTTCATCCATCTCGTTCGACCGAACGGTTCTACCGAGATAAATTCATAGGAACGACTTTCGTGGTGGTAGTGGTGGTCCAAACAGAAAACAAAGTACTAAGAGATCGGCAGTCGCGTGGTGGCTCGGTCACGGCCCCCTTTTCGCCGGAAGCGTTCAAAATTTTCGAGCTAGCCGGGGCCAATAAACCGACGTGAACGCGCGTGGCGAAGTTGGTCCGAGGCTTTTGCCACCGGGAATTCCGAAAGTCTAATTTCGGCCGAGATGGATATTGGCTTACATGCACTTCTGAGGGTTCCGCCCAGCCTGTCTTCTTATCTTCCGTCTCTGTTTCTGGTGTTCCTCCTCCCTGCTGTGCCAGATCTCTCCCTTCATACTCGGATTACAACTAAAAAGGAGAGCCGGGTGTATTTCTGGCCTGGAATACCCACACGTTTTCATCTACCCCCTCCGGTACCATCCCAGCCCGCAACAGACAAACGATTTTGCCCTTTTTTTTTTTCTTGCCATCCCTCCTTGCCTACTCGATGATCCTACGGATGCGTCATACTATCGACGGTTCCTTGGTCCGATGAGAACGTGGAAGAATTTAATAGGAGAATCCTCCTTCGGCAGTTGCTTAAGGGTGGCTCCCGAAAATTTTAAATAATAAATTTAATTAAAAATTTAATTAAAAGCTTTCAACTTTCAATTGCTACTAAAAAATAAAGATCAACGGTAAAATTATGGAAAGAAAAAACGTTATAAAAATGTCTTTACGACGAGAAAAACGCGACTAAAGTTATGTCGCTTGCCGTTTCGAACTGTGGCTTGACACACTGAACAGGCTGTAAATTTTGGGAGTATAGTTTTGACGCGTTTTGTTTATTTTCGATTTATGTAAAAGAAAATGTTTGTTTTTTGGACCTGTTACATGAGAATACCTCCTTGAGGGGAGTAGGTATTTTTGCGGGTTACAAAATCGTTTAAAAAGTTGTTGTTTTATTTGATAATAGACAATATTCGGAGTCGGAATCTGTGATTGAAACAATTTTCCGAATCCTATAAATGTAACCGTAATCCTAAGAAATACGGTTATGATGCGAAAACTATGCTAGCAAATAATAAGAAATGTTATATTTCCAATAATCATTCAAGGGGAATAGTTGTCAGTGTATTTTGAGACAGATTAAAGGACAAACCGTGACGTATGAATTGATAGAGGGAAAATGTTAAAAAAAAATGCTTCCCCTGTAAAATCATACATTCTTCGGCAATCGTGATTCCTTTTTCTCAATAACGGTTCGACCGATCTGTTGAGGGTAACACGTATATTAGCCAAAGATTTTGTTGAAACTCGTCCTACAGCCGAATTGGAAGGATCATCTAAATATATTAAAGGTAAGAGTACAAAAAAAAGTCCACACATTGATAGGGTTGTATAATTTTCTCTATTCGGTATTTCAAGATTCTCTTTAGCTAAAATGCACATCTAATATGGTACAAAATTCTCTAAAAATTTCAAATTGATAGCTACAGTAGATTCTGAGAAAAAGGAACCTAAAGTTGGCTTATTTTCTATGTACCGAAAAAGGTGTGCCCACTCCCCTTAATAATCTAACCTTTCTTTTGGAGACCTCTAGTCGTAAATCAGAGACGAGTAAACCCTCTTCGTTTTCGAATCCCTAACAACAAAACAGAAAGATGTCGTAAGCCTTGTCCCTTCCGGTCAGTTTGATTTCAGTTCAGTCGTTTGCGAGTCGAAGAAAAAACAACGAGAAAACGCAGTACACGCACAGATTTTTTTCTCCTGTTTCCCATCCAGGTTCCCCTTTTACTATGAAATTAAGACTATCCTGGTGATCTGGCTGCTGAGCCCAGCCACAAAGGGCTCGAGCATCCTCTACCGTCGCTTCGTTCATCCCGCTTTAATTCGCCGCGAGACTGAGATCGACGAAGCTCTAGCACGCGCCACAGAACAGGGCTACACTGCTGTCTTACACCTTGGCTCGAAGGGCGTCAACTATGCCACCACGGTTCTTATGCAGACCGCGATCAAGGTAAGTCGGGGATTTACAATTTGAACGATTCGTGTAGCCACGCTCGAACGATGGAAAAGTGGGGTCGTCCTGTCAGCGGAAGGAATCAACGTACTACTATCTGAGATCACGTGGATCAATTGGGATCTAAGATTGAAACTTATTAACATTTCCAGTTGAAATCATACATCTTAATAGTCCTTCCGTGGTACAAGACGACCAAAGAGATCCATCTTTACGTTACACTTCAGAACATTAACCAGCTTTAGCGAGCGCTTTAGTAAAGTCTCCGGCTAATATTCCATAATTTTTTCTTGATTTTATGTTTTCGTTGTCCCGCACGCCTATCCTGCACGCCGTTACACCGCCTCTAATAAAAAAAATCGACGTCGATCACCGTCATCATCACACAACATCGTCTAACCACTGCCAATCATCACCGTTCCTCTAACAAACGAAAAACCGTCGTCGCTTTAAATAAAAAAAAAAAATGAAAAAAAAAAACCAACAAACCGTGTCCGTTGTGCGTGTGTGTGCTTATCGTGTCTGACACCAAATCGACGGGGGGTTATTGCTCGTCGCGAACCGAAACAAAAAAATCGTAAAATCGTCCAAAAAAAAAAATATATATATATATACATATAAATAAACGAAACACACGTTACGGAGTCAGCTTGTGTCGAAGTTAGACCCGACCGTGCTGTATATACTCCATGGCAGCCAATCAGTGTCGGCGATTTCTAGCTCAGCCAAGTATCAGCCAACATCAACACCGAAAACGGAACTGGAGCTTCGAACAGCCGTGACGACAGCCATCACGGAAACGTCATCGAGCCGGCGTTCAAGCATTGATTACGAAGACTTCGATCTGGAGGCTGAGGAGGCAAGCCTCGTCGAGAACGCGAGCAAGGTGATGTCTTCGAGCGCCGACGAGGACACCTTCAAGCTACCAGACAAGAGAAAACGGTACCGTCACACGACCCGGGTATCCACGAAGACGTCCACGAGAAGGCTGAGATCCAACACTCGCAAGAAAACCATTGACTATTCCAAGTTCAGCGACGACGACCACGATTCGCTGAAGAATCCATTTTACATCGAATAGAGGGTCGTCTTTGTACCCAGTTTGGTGTTCTCGTGATTGCTTTGGGTATACGGGACATACATGTTTGTAAGTTAGGTGTTCTCGATTCAATTTTCGTATACGTGTATACACGTTTGTCCAGGTGTGCGTGCGTTTACAGAAGAAAAAAAAAAAAATTATCGAACACGCTATCCGTTTCTCTCTCTAATCATTGCCACTTCAGCCTCTAACGGCGTAAATGGCTTTTAACCGCGTGAATTCTCAATTTAATCGCGTGAAATTGCTTGTTAGAACTGACTCATGTGTTACCATTTATAATAAGGATCTTTAGATAGGTGTAACCATTCGTATATACGGTAGTTCACGATCGATCGAGCTCGTTGAGGATTATAGGATCTTCCGGAAGATGAAGGAATAGATCTCGGAAGAGTATATAATTTCACGTTCGACGAAACGTGAATTATACGCCCGGTCGTGGGGACCGCCGATGTAGTCTTTTAGGCGAAGCGTTTTCGACCTCGTACTGTGTGTCTTTCTGAAAAGTCTGCGACCTTTATACCATTGTTCTACCCAAGTAGCGATTAGAGTCGAAGATTTAAAAGCAGCGTTACTCCCTCAAGAGGAGTCGCGAACCGTGATAAATTTCGTGATTCAGGAGAATCTGTGCCTTGAAGTGGCCTTAGGTCGCCACGTATGTTTCACTGAACCAAGTGTTCGTGAGAGGATCGACAGGGATTTTTTTTTTTTTTTTTTTTTGGCGACGAAAAGAGATTCCGACAGACTGACGAATCTTCGTTTATCCTTGTATACCTCTGACGCGTATAGGTACTACGTTTCTTCTTTTTTCTTTTTGTTCTTTTTTACAACGAGCTCTGCGAATCTCGTTTCGTCGCTCATGAGTTACCAAGTGATAGGAATATACGTATATATTAAACGATGATACTTGTTAAGTTCATTTGTACGGATTTATGTGTCAATTTTTGTATCGCGCTTTACGATCGTCGACATATCAACCAGCTCCACTCAACTATCCAATTGAACGGAGCAAATTTCTAGTATGTATAAGGACTTATTATTTACTAAAACGATTTTTAACTTGAACTACCCAGGGTTCGGAAAATTGTTAAGTTTACGAAGTGAAGTATACACGCAATTACCGTCGTGCGTTTAAAGACGGAACAGCCAATCGTCGTTATTAAATCGTCTGTGAAGTTGATGTAAAAGTAATGCAGAACGTAAAATGGTAAAAATCAAGAATTTCCATGGTCCCTGAATCCGCTGGGTTATCCTCTCAGCTAATAAAACTAGGAGAACCACGGCAACATTCTCGTTACTTGTACATCAACGTTATCGGTTGAGAAACCACTGTGTACCAATGATAGATTCGGTGCGCACATTAGCCAGAGAACGCTTAGAGATTAAGACTTTTTATACCCAATCCCAAAGATTTTACGCAACAATGATATGGTGTGTTTCCATTTTTTTTTTCCTCGTAATAAACGCATTCAACTGATAACGGGGTGTGCTGTTGCTCCTATTTTTCTTTCCAATGGAAAATACAAACACGCGCGCTCGCGCACTTGTTCGTTTCGCGATCATCCGCGCCGATTGATTCCTCCCGTTCGGTGTACACGGGCCCCGAATCCCGTCTAACGAGTCGGGGCCAGTTAATCAACGTGGAAAACCCGTTCTCTTCTATCGTTGGACAGAGTGCACGCTCGCCGTTAACACGCGCCAGAATGCAACGGAGAAAGAAACGCATCCGGATAGGCGACGGACCGATACCCGGCCTAGATCGATCGGTAGAGACATAGGACCGGTATCCGTAGATCTGCACACGGAAGATAACACGCATTAACCATCTTTATTTTGCCCGGTTTGGTAAGAGTTTCCGTTTTTAAATTTTCTTTTTTTGTTCGTCTTTTCTCTTTCGCTCTTATCTCTTGACAACCCTTTTTCGTTTACGCACAAACTCGATTGATTTTTTGGTTTCCTCGCTCTCTCTTTGCACTGACGCTTAACAAACCAACGATATACCGCGAGGGCACACGAAAACAACCGGAAAAATTGGTCTTTCAGGGAGGCGGCGGTCTGGTGCAGCATTTAAAGAAGAGCTACAGCCTGAGCGACCTGACCGGCGAGAAGGAGGACGAGAATAGAAACACGTCGCACATGCACGACGAGACGGACATGGCAGGTTGTTGACCGATTTCAGCGAAGTGCATTCTTGCGAATAGTTTACCCACGCCCGTGGCTCTGATACGCGTTCGGTAAATCCAACGGGGATCTCCGAAAAATTATGAATCGGGAATGTTCGAATATCCCCGTAGCCGAGACCGGTACGCCTGAGTTCACGAGCTCTCTGATCGATCAGGGAAATTAAAGAGTATATGTATACTTCCAGATCAACATGACGATTCAGTCATTGGCCGTTTGTGATCGGGTATCAATAGACTGCGGAAATTTATGCGAAATCAAAATTTTAGGTAATGATATGAATTTTGAATTCTGTACTAGAGACATTACTACGTTAATAATAACATCTAAATAGTATGAAACTGTATTAAAACGTTTATTTTAGTATATTTTAGTGCATAAACGTCCGCAGTCTAGCTATCAAAAATAAAAAGCGAACGAAAACGATTTCCTTTCAATTGATCCTGATCGGTAAACATTCATGAACTCTCGAGTCTAATCCTGGTTCCCCCCATGGTCGAACGAAATGTCACGATCGAAGACCATTGAAAATCTTCCTGTTCTTTTCAGTGGAACCTCGTCGAAGGGAGAACGTGGGGAGAAGGGGTTACAGTCCTCGTCGGACACAGTCGAGCAGCAATCGGGTAGAGATGTACTTCTCCGAAGTGGACGTTGATGTTAGACAGCCCATGTCTAGGGAGCCGACAGCCAGCTTAACGTGGGTATCATAAGTTTTTCTTTTCTGTGTCACCGGTGTTGTTTTCCATTTGGAACAATTAGGAACCGGTTGATACTTCTCTGAATAGTATTTTAAATTTCAGCAATATAAGATCCTCGGACGACATATCCAGCGGATACAGCAGCGGCGAAGCTTTGCAATCTAGTCGTTCATCCCAGGCGGATCCGTTGGTTAGAACGGCGAGCGTTGGCGCAAGAACACGAGCAAAGCCTCGCTCCACCATGAAGAAGACACCGGAGGTACTAGATTTCACCGTTCTAACCCGACACACGATGATAATCAAGGCTTAATCGCGCTCTAATTCGCGTCGAAATTCGGTCTTCGATAAAAGCTCGATTGTTTACAGAAGTTGTTATTAGTAGGGGTGTGCGAATACTCGTAACTTACAAGCTGAGCCGAACTCGCTTCGGACGCTCGAGTCGAGTCGAGCGTTTGAATTTTCCGAGCAAATTGAAATCAACGAACTGTTTAAAGAAAATAAGAGCTACTTTAGAAACTCAAACGGCTCGAATATTCCAGCGCTTGTAAAGACTTCGATCTATTTGAAAATGTATTTTCAGCTCGAAAAGTTTCTAATTTACCTCTAATTTTCGAGTTACTCGTAAATATTCGAATTGCTCGAATTACACGGAACAGATAAAAGAAGAAAATTTTATGCGACGCTACGAATAAATCACTTCGAATAAAAAAAAGTGTCTTCTATTCGTCGAATAATTCTCATCGAATAAATTTATTCATTCGACGCTCGTCGAAAAATGATGCTTCTTTTATTCGAACTTCGAATAGCAAATAAAATTTTTCCATCTTTTATTCGTTATTCGAAATTTTTATTTAGATAAAAATTTTGCCCGTACAAAATTATTACTGATTACGTAGAGGAAGTATGTTTTCTTCTTGAAAACATGAAAATAAATCAGAAACGTTAAATTAGACTCTTATATTTTTCTTCCTTTCAGTTAGATTAGTATTCGATAGTACATAAATAGTTAAACATTCGAGTAATTCGAGCAATTCGAATATTTACGAATAACTCAAAAATTAAAGATCTGTTCGAATGTATCGAGTGATTTAACAATTTTCGAGCTGAAAATTCATTCTCAAGTAAATTAAAGTCTTACGAGCGCTCAAATACTCGAACCGTTTGAGTTTTTCAAGTAGCCCACACATTTTTCGAACAGATAGTCGATTTCATGTAGCTTGAAGAATTTGAACGCTCGACTCGGCTCGACCGAACGATCATTATTTGATTCGAAATTCCAATACTCGCACACCACTAGCCATTAGGTCTTGATTTATCGTAATCTTTGCAACGATCATTTCTACGAAATTTATCGTCATACTCGCGACTTCCGTTTCGATGTAATAAATTCATTTTTGGTGTTCGAAGGACGCCGGAGAGGATTCCGACAGCAACGACCTTCCTTCCTCCAAACACATCACAATTCCGACACCTTTGAGTCACGTCACCCCCGAGCAAGCTCTAGAGATCTTGCTTCTGCTCGCGCAAAACAGTAATGTTGCCGATTATATCAGATTCGATCGTGGATCCTTTGTCGCAGGTAACGACGACTCGGTCGGTAACACCAGTCAATCAGGCCCTGAACCGGAGGGAGCCAAAGCAGAGACGATAGAGTCGAAAGGCGACTCGTCGGACCCTGCTTTGGCTACGGAGATTCAGATTATTCAGAGTATAGAAGTGACGACTGTGCCTGAACGTTCAGTGATAATGGAAAACTCAGTCGATGATAGACCAGTGAGCCAGACAGAAAGCCAAGAAAACAAAGTTGAAAGTGTCGCCAACGTTTCGACGAGTAACGAGCAGCCACATTCGGCAGATCCGGAAGAAGCAGAACGCACGATAACCGATGAACTCTGTCAGACCAAGTTCGACGAGTTGAAGCAACTTTTGAGCGAAGCACACAAGGCTGTCAACAACATTGTGTACACGCAGGAGAAACTGAAAGGTAGTAATGCTAGCATCGCCGAATCATTGTCCCGTAATGATGCATCGCAGAATGTAGAGACTAACGAAAGCATAAAGAAAGACGATTCCGAAGAAGCACCAGGTGAGATCGAACAACCGAAAGAATCTAATAATGCGGCGAAAGTGGAGGCAGAGAACGATAATGTTGCGACTTTGGATGTATGGACGACGCCCGACGTGTCGCGAAGTAACTCGGACAGTCTGAGTAGTCGAGCTGGAAAGTACAACAAGAAACCAGCACCAAAAGCGCCACTCACGAAGAGCGAGGAGGATTTGAACGAAACCGATTCCCAGAACGCATTGAAAGCCACGTTGGTGATCAAAACCGGAACCCTGAAGACATTCTCGAACACCGGGACCACGAAAGACGTTTTTATCGCTCACGTAGCCGAGAAGTCGAAAGGAAAGAAGTCGAAGAGACAGAGAACCAAGGAAGGATTCTCGAAGCTCTTGACGATACCAAAGAATATCTTCCACAACGCATTTAACAGAGAGCACAAGGGTTCCACGAAGACAGAGGACTCTGCCTCCTCGGATATCAGTGCTCCAGAATCGAGGTCGAACAGCATCGAGCCGCAAGAAACGATCATAGAACTATCGCCAAAAATGTCGATCTCCAGTCAAGACACAAATACCGAAACTGACGACAAAAGCGAGAACGATACCTCAATCGGCTCGGATAGTTTCGTGCTAGCGGAGGCCACGAACCAAGCTGAGAAAGAAAAGATTGGTCAGAGTGCAACTTTCGTGCTCGAGGAAGCCACGAACGAAGCTGAGAAAGAAAAGATTAGTCAGAGTGCAATTTTCGTGATCGAGGAAGCCACAAACGAAGCTGAGAAAGAAACGAATGATGATATTCCAACGAAGAATCCGCAGTCGGAGATAAGAGAGATGTCTCAGTCGCCGAGAGCCGGCAAGAAACTGGAGTCAGATATATATTAAAGCCTGATTCGAGAGAACGTAACGATAAGAATTAGATGGGGTCTCATTGACTGGTTTTTAAAGGCAAATTAAACCGAACCCTCTGTCACACCTATCCTACCCCGTCCTCCTCTCACTGTTTATACACTTTACCATACTGGCAAATCTGGAGAGAAGAAACGGATTAACACACACGTTCAGATCGTATGAAATATGGTTTCTAGAGTGTTTTCTGATTTAGCTCCTTAGTCACTAATCATCTTGGCGAGTGTTTTGGCGTCTCACCCATGCATGTTTGTTAGCTCTGTTAACACAACGACAACGGCATACAGCCACGTAATTATTAATTTGTTCCTTCTATGAGGAAGTGTATTAACCGAGGAAAGTCCAGACCCACCCTTGTGTCTTTGTACCGAGGCGACACTTTGTCGCGGAGAGTGTGGTGTGTGCACTTTGACGATCTATTAAGGTTCAGGTCCTCTTTTGCTTCGAAAATGATTGTACATGCCAGAACCGAATCGATGAGAGTACGAGGAGTTTTATTTGACGATTGAACGTTACCCTAAAGAATTTCAAATACTAAGAATCTATCAGTGACACGACTTATTTCTGTTTTCCTTTTCCATTGTTTCAGATAACAAGCTACGCTACCCTGCCCCGCAGCAAGAAGACAAGTAAGAAGAAGGTCGCATGAAACTTGGGGAGTGCTGCTGATCGCATCAAAGAATAAGACCAACTGTTTTTCTGTCGACTAGAACCGAATTGAAAGGCATCAGCAGCGAGCGGGGGCGTACGCTAAACAAATACGACGCGTAAACGCATAATAACATTGTGTCTTAGCACTAGGCGTTACACGACCTCGTTTGTACATAGCTCTCCGATGAGACAAACGAAACCGTTCATCGATTATGTTCAGGCGCATCCGGCTAGCTAAAGCACACATGGGGAGGATAGTTCTCGTTATCGATCAGTTTTCACGAACGACAAACCGGCTGAGAAAGCTTTACTTCATCCGCGACTGGTCGCAAGAACACCGTTGCTCACAGTCATCCATAAGATTCCTAGACTTTATTATATTAATCCGTCGATCGCCATGGCTCACGGACACGTGGGACTTTTTATAACGGCGTACCATTCGATAAAATCAGAGAACAGGTGTCTGTGTGCTCACTTAACGATCGACGTCGCTTTTAAGATCAATGCGCAGTCGTCCATTCAAAAATAGCACGGAGTTCCGTTTCCTAAGCTTTTCTAAACCGTAGGCTCTTGGTGTTTTGTACCGACGAGCGGATTCGCCGTGAAAGACGGGAAAGCCGTGAGAGATTAAGCATAGGGGAGCAGTTGTTGTGAAAAGAGAGAAATGAAATTCTAGTCAGCATAACATGACTCAGACGACTCCCGTAATAGTGCCACTTGAACTTTCTATAATTTTTCTACAGGATCGTAGCTAACACATTATTCGGAGATTAGACCCCGCGGTGACAGACTCGTGAACGACTGTACGCATCGAGTCATTATTCTTTTTTCTTTTTTTTTTTTTTCATAAAAATTAGAAATCAAAGTGACGCGTAATGTTTGTAAAAGCCGTAGATAATCCTAAATAACTATTGTCCGACAACTTTTCGTCTACGATTCTAAGAAACACTTATAGACGACCGTTCGCTTCTGCGTGCTTTTTATCGTTTCGAAATATCGTGTCTCGTTTTACGTTCCCTTTTGTATCGTGTGCACGTGGCGAACCGTGCTGATGATTTACGCACAAGCGCTGCGATTACCTCGAACGTGAATCGCGGAGAGAGTTTAGTCACAGATGTTAACACGAATCCGTGGATATAGTTTATCGTGCTGTGCTCTATGTATATTGCCATCGTGAAATTTTAGGCCTGTACTGTTCAAAGTTGTTGCAGAGAATGCTAACCATTCGGGGGATCTTGTTGAGCTATAGCTCCCCCCCCCCCCTCCCATTTTTAAGTCGATGAAAGGGCCTGTCCAATTAGAGCATGATCCAAGGAACATGCTGGTGATTGGTCTTTGAGCAGATTATATTATCTGCAGTTAGATGTAATTGATGTTGCCATATACAGGATGTCCCACCATATAGACTGACCGAAGACAACTGATGGTTGGTGGAGGCGCGTCAGTTGAAAGGACCGAAAAAGGAAAAACGATTGAAAAACTTCGATTTCTAAGGAACTGTGGTGGATACCGATAGGTCTTCTTATAATAAATTCATCAGTTGTGCTCGACCCAGTAATACACTGTAATTTACTTAAAACCTCTCTTGAGCCTCTAATCTTGGAACAGCCTGTATATGCGAACTCATGGGAACTACCAAACCCGCCCAAGAGGTACCATCTATGAACTGGACTGCCATGGGCGAGATATGGAGTACTACCAATAAGTTAGAAATTTGTTATATATCGTATAATTGTTGAGTTTACCCATGCACGTTCTACGCGATATGTTCACGGCTGAGTCACCGAACGAAAAATGCAGCTGATGCGACTAACGTAATTTTGTTTGAGATACGACGATACATCTTGAAAGATCGTAATGGATCGTTACTAGACTGCGGATTTTATGCGTTTATAGCCTATAGGGCTTTGTGAAATATGATAAGAAACAAAACTTTCATCGGATCCAACGATATTTTGGTTTTATTCTGAAGCCAAGAAAATACTTAAGGGAAGAATAAATTTCTACATTTGCTCCCGTCTTTATAAATTATTTTAGAAAATGTTATTTTGCATAAAAATCCACAGTCTAATATTACAGAAAGGATGGAATCTCTGTGAATTTGATACCCATGGACGTTTCGTAGCGCGTTGAATATAGCATTCGTTGCATTTTATCGGTAACAGCTCGAAAGGCTCGTCAGAGAAATCTAAACAATTGCAATTTATATATGCATCGTTAATTCTTAGTCTACCTTGATATATTTCTGTATGTGCGTGTGTATGTGTGTGCATGTGTATACGAGAGAAAGAAGGAAAATGAGAGTGTGATGACATGCTCAACTAAGAATCTCTTTGCCTGTACTCGAAGGAGGGAAAATTTCCCAGACTCATCGCGGTATCTCGATATCATTCGAGCTTTGTTTCTTTTTGTAATTATTAAGCGTTCTCGTCGTTGCGTCAACAGTGCGCCGCGAATTATAATGGTGCTGCGAAGTTTCGAATTTTGTTTTATAGCTAATGGACCCCGGGCAGCATAGAAACGGGATTTCCTTGACGCTGACAGGGAATCCAGTTTCAAGGGAAACGTATTCTGAGAGTACAGAATAATATCGGAAATCTTTTTCCGAGGACGATGGATAGGTCGGTTCACAGTATTTCGGTTTAAGTATGTCTGTAGTCAATAAAGTGACATTAAAATATCTTGAGTGCTGATTTCGTAACATTACAGATTCATACACCAACATATTTCAGAGTAGAGGATATTTAACAGAAAAGAGATTATTCTGCTGTAAACAAAGTGGTCCGCGCGTTCTACTCAAAGTAGACGAATCGATACTGCAAATTACCTCGACAACAAACTATCACGCGAAATGGAAGTACCCGGTCAGAGATTGTGATAGCCTGTCCAGGCCCCTACCTACTTACAAGGGAACGTTTTGTACTGTTACACTGGAAAATAAAAAACCTTGTGTGCGTTTTGTAGTACCACCATACCTAGCCCTTATTAAAAGTGAAAAACCGTAGGTGCCCGTTTTTTAATTTAGCCAAGATAGAGGGCATCAAAGTTGGTAAAAATGTTAGGTGAGATCCTTTGAAGTTACGTGGTAGCAGTGGCGTTCTTAGCATTGGTGTCACCTTTTCCCCCTCAATATTATATAAAATATTTGGTTGTTAGGAAGCATTGGTTCCCGAGTTCATATGGGATTTCAGGTATTGTAAAAAAGGGCTTTAACATTCGTACTTGACGGTCCCGCATCATGGGAAAAAAATCAAGAGGCTGGAGTTATCAAATTTTATAAAACGTAACGGTAACCTTTCTATTAAGACACCTGAGGCCACAAGCTTAAACCGTACCCCGTCATTTAACAGGCACAATGTACAATATTTTGTTTCAAAATTTAATTTCATTAAATTTTGATTACTTATCCGTATAAATTAACGTTAAATATCTAGCCAAAGTATAGACTTCTATTTCATGAAAACCAAAAGCTGTTACTTCCAACCCTGGTCTCCCCTATTGAAATTATTATACTGATCACCACCAAAATATTGCATTCTCTAGTAGTCAAACGAATAACAGACTACATACCACGTTCTCAATTAATCAAAAGATACCAACTGTTTAAACATCGTGAGAAACACCCTGTACATTTGAGACATTCGTATCATAAATATCTATGGAGTATTAATATTCTTTTGTCAAATAACAAAATATTTTTTAATTGTATAACCACTAGAAAACGCAGCGTACAAAAAGACCCTAGTCTAGCTAAGAAATACAACAGCTACGTGTTACTATTTACTCGCAGGTATGATTGCTTACCCACGTTCACTGTACTCGATAAATTCAACACGTATACAACTAGACCCCCGTGCCGCTTCGGACCAATCGTCCTACGGCATGGTTTGGTACTACAAAAATCAAAAAGCATGCGACTCACCCGATGATAGAAGGGCTCCGTGTAAGAGAAAAATCTCGTCCTTTCAAGAAGAATCTGAAAAAAAAAATACTGTAAGAATATTAAGAATCTGTAAGCACATGATGGGATATAAATATAATAAACAATTATTTTTACTTCATCGAAAAGGCAAAACTAATGAATTATCCCACCTTTCTCACCACCCTCATCACCAGAGCCTCGGGTCTCCCCTGAGAACATAAATCTGTCATCCGAGCTTGTTCGAGTAACTCGACCGAGCTTCGAGCTTTTCCCCTACTACTCGAACACGCTCGAAAAGCTCGGTTACCCATCACTACTTGGGTCTCTTTTGAGAACATAAATCTGTCAGTTGGGCTCGTTCGAGTAGCTCGAACAAGCTCGAAGTATCAACTCGTTCGAACAAACTCGAACACCGAGGCTCGGTTACCCATCACTAGTCACAACGAAACAATTATTTACTCGAACAATGTAGCCGAAGACTACAAATTGAACAAAAACTACCTAAATACTAATTGATGTCGAGGGAGAATGGAAGTTGCAAAGACCGATTCATTTTGTCCCGCAATATCGAATTAATTCACAATTATTTACACCAAATTGAGTAAATATTAAACAAACATAACGAGAGAGAACTAGCGAAGGTACTAATGGTATAAATGATTAGAAGTGAAAGGTAATAATACGTACTTTGCCACGAGCAAGCTCATTTCATGTCTTTTTACTCCAACTTCTCCCAAACGAATGACTCTTAAGGCTAAGTTTGACTAGTCACAATCGTTTGATTGGTGGTTCGGTAGATAAGGATAGGTCCTCTCCCCAATCCAATTTCTATTTGAATAAAATAGAATTTTCACCGTCGTATTATATCTCATTATAATATTTTTATTATGGGTCCCCAAGAATAACTGAGCCAACAATCTGATAGTTATTACTAATTAGATAGTAGATAAAAACTTTTTTTTATGAAGGAAATAAAGAAAACTGTATAGCACTCTTTTTAATTCTCTTGAATGTTCATATGAATTATGTTGTTTAACGTTTATGAACAACAGTCAGGTAGACTATATGTTTCAAAGAACGCATTGTCAAACAGCAATCTAAAGCAATATATAAATAATGTTTATAATACGAACTCTTATAATCTTACATATTCCTTCAGAACAATAATAGATTTTTTGAAACGGATAATCTGAGGCACACCTTGACGAACTTTTATCAGATTGAAGTAGCGTTTCCGACACTATCTATTAAGAAGATTTTGTTTTTGGGGGCTCAATATATAACAACTTGATAGAATAAACTTAGTATTAATACTAATACCTTTAATTAAAGAATAATCGAACTTTCTTTCACATTTACTGCCGACACAACATGCACTCGCAAAAGATACCCTCATTTCAAACTTCAGATGTCGCTTCGATCTAACAAACTTTTCCGTTATTCGGTCTTCGAGCGTCGTCGACGTATCGAGACTATCGAGAGATCGTTTAGTATCGACCAGGACATCGGTGCAGTCTGTTGCAGACTTAAGGGACCGGGGTTTTTGTTCTTTCGGGATTCATATAGTTCCGAGTGAATTTTAATTTCCCTGCGAAAAACACAAGTGATGCTGTCGTGACGCTCGCTTGAAGGAATTGTGCCGCAAGGAAAACAGTATTCACATTCCTTGCTCTCTCTCCGTTGCCCCCAAGAAATAACAGTATTGTTCATTTGATAACTCGTTTGGTCGTTTTCGTAGTCCGACACTAAACAGACGTGCCCTCTTGTGATCCGCAATGGCGGAGACAAATGGGGTCGCGAATTTAGACACGAAGAATGGAAACTTCATATGCGGTGTCGTCGAAGGTATAATATTGAAATCGGCGTCAAGCCACTCGAAACATACGTATTTGGTCATCGTTTGCGACCGGCCTCGCATAGGAGGGGGAGCGATTACAATAGCTAGTAGTGTACCCATAAAAATACACTTTTTCATTGCAGGTTTCTATGGTCGGCCTTGGACCACAGAGCAAAGGAAGGATCTATTTCAGAAGCAAGTATCTTCCACTGATGTCAGACTACATTACAAGATTCAAAGTTCCCAATATTAAGTTATCATATTGAATCATTTATAGATTAAAAAAATGGGGAATGGATTCATATTTGTATGCACCAAAAGATGATTATAAACATCGTGCTTACTGGAGAGATTTGTACACAGTAGAAGAAGCTGAACATTTAACCGGTCTGATAGCAGCTGCTAGAGAATGCGGTATAAGATTTTATTATGCACTGTCACCAGGATTAGATATCACTTATTCAAGTGCAAAAGAAGTTACTGTATTGAAAAGAAAGTTGGAACAAGTCAGCCAGTTTGGTTGCACTGCATTTGCATTGTTATTTGATGATATAGAACCAGAAATGAGTGAAGCAGACAAAGAAGTATTTCAGTCCTTTGCTCATGCACAAGTGTGTATCGACTGATTAAATGATGAGTATTCAAGTCATCATTATAGATTGTTTGTTAGTAATTGTAATATTTTCTTAATAGGTTTCTGTTACAAATGATATATTTCAACACCTTGGTCAACCAAAGTTTCTTCTATGTCCAACGCAATACTGTGCTACTCGTGCAATGCCAAATGTATCGTCCTCAGAATATCTTAACACGCTTGGTAGTAAATTGGCCCAAGAAATTGATATAATGTGGACTGGTCCTAAAGTTATATCAAGACTTCTAACTGTTGAGTCTATAGAAGAAATTACGGAAGTTCTAAGAAGACCGCCAGTTATATGGGATAATCTTCACGCCAATGATTATGATCAAAAAAGAGTATTCTTAGGTCCATACTCCGGCAGATCTCCTGATCTGATTCCTAAATTGAGAGGTGTTTTAACGAATCCTAATTGTGAATACGGGGCTAATTTTGTAGCAATTCACACTTTGGCTCAGTGGAGCAGGTGTAACATTGATGGAAAGAGAGATTTGAGTGTGTATTTAATTATTTCTAATTTTGTTCTACCTTAGGCTTTCTTCACTATCTATTTTCTGCTTTTTTAGATGATTCTGTGTCAGCTGACATAAGATTAGAAACTGAAACAGAGGATGGTGTACTTCGTGAAGATATTCCTATCACAATGTCACCAAATATTTATCATCCCCGGCATGCTTTAAAAAGTGCTATAAACGATTGGTTATTAGAATTTCACAAAAAGCGGGCCGCATGGGGTGTTATCGCAAAGCCGCAGCCATGCGTTGCTCCAACAATACCTATACCAATAATTCCTTCTGTAAATACATGCATGAGTCTCACGTCGACGACAACAACGACTTCCGTTCCTGCAACATCTACATCAGTAAATAATTCCAGTCATCTTCAAGCACTAGCTGAAGTTTGCTCAACTGTAACTGTAGTCACCGACAGTTTCGTACCTCCCTCTGGTCCTGTTATGAATTCTTTAGTATCAAATACAACTGTTGTTAGCGAATCCATTATTCCAACAATTTCTACTAATGTGAACAATGTGTCAACTTCAAATGCTATGTCTTTAGAGCCTATGGATTGTAATACAACACCTAATAATTCACCTGCGCACGCAGCTAAGATTCATACGGAGGACGATCCCATGATAGAGAACACTTCTGTACGTCTGTAAATATTTGCTATTAATGATCACATATTCAAACATTTATATAATTCATCTACTTTGTTCCATAGACTTGCAGTGAAACTTCCGGCAGCATGCAAGTAGAAATTGACGGTACTTCTCCTGTAGTAAACGGAACTCAAATGATTGTTGAAAACGACAGCGAGAATCATGATACTACTGATAACACAGATCAAGAATCTCAGGATTCCATTGATGCTGACAAACGATTAACACAAGAGGATTTATCGTTACTATGTGACCTCTTTTACTTGCCATTTGAACATGGTGGTCAAGGTATTCAATTGTTACAAGAATTTAATTGGCTTAAAAGTAATGCTCACGTTGTCATGAGAAAGGCGAAAGAAGACGAGACTGTGTCTCAATCTGATGTAAGTAACGTTATCTTGTCAAATTGGTGAACGAGTTATTGTATGATTTCATTAGTGAATGTTCAATGAGTTTCTTCAACAAGTAGTTGGTAGTTTCCTCTATTACAAACGTACTCGAATAAACGAAATTTCAGATCGAAGAATGGCATACGAGAGCAGCAAAATTAAACGACATGTGCAATGGTGTAAATAGATTATTTCAGCGACTTACGTACTGTAATAATCGTGAGTTATTATATGATTTGTATTCATATGTTTGGGATATGAGAGGAGTTGTGTCCCTTTTAAACAGTTACGTGAAATGGTTGGGTAAGTTGCATTCTTATTTATACAATAATCTAAATATACTTAACAGTATCTTGCTACATTTTAATATATGTGTTTAACCCTTTCGCTACGGCGGGCCTCGCCGCGGAGTACCTCGTCTAGAACGGAGCGCCGTGCCGAAAGTGAGAACATTAAGCGCGCGCAGTCTTTAGCATTCGGGGCCAGACTTTTGTCTCAAAAACGACTTTGTGACATTACTTTTAGAAACAAAATGATTTGTGTTCATAATTTTTCCATGGAGGTATTTTTAATTCAACAATACAATTAATATTTTTATATTATACAACAATATAGGAACTATAATTATAACATAATATTGAACAGTAATTTTTTAATAATAAAATTTTAATAATAAGAACGTTGCAATAGCGCTTGCAATTGTTTACGAACAGAAATACACGAAGCGATACCATTTATCTTAACATTTGGTTCCATTTTTGGAGCGGGTGACTATAGTCACCCGTCGTGTATAGGTGGCATCTTGTGACCGGTGACTATAGTCACCCGTCGTGTGCGGGTGTCGTTTTGTGGCGGGTGACTATAGTCACCCGTAGTAGTGAAAGGGTTAAAAAGAATTAAGAAAAATATTCTAAAAAGAATAAAAAATAATCTTAGGCATGGACTATATTATATTTGCAATACCATCTTTAGTATCAATTAAATATTTCTTAATCCTTGTAAGAATCATCATTCCATAATAAAACATACAGAACTAGAAGTAGTAAAGTGTATAAAGAAAGTTCATTCAAGATGCTAGTATGCTGGTACAATAATGTGAAAACAAATATTCACGTAATTTTGTTACGTACTTACAAAAATATACAAAATGCTACTAACTTTTATTTTTTATTTCATTTTTGCATTGTCTTCAGTAGTAGAGAGTTGTATTTGTTGTGCTACAGATGAGTGCTGTTATCAATTTTTCTCAAAAATACTATAATTTATTACCTATACTTATATTTCAGAACAAAAGTGTCTCGAGTATTGGTAAGTTCGATGTTCTATTCTTTTTTTAACGCGCTCATTTTGTCCTTTTATAAGGAAGATGTTATTATCTTATGTAATAGAAGTTACTACTATGAACATTTTTTAATTATAATTTAGCAGTACCTTAAAAGTACTCAGAAGTAACTTTCTATATATAATATTTTAAAACATTACTCTACGAAGATATATTCACTTAAAATCTCATGGTGCTTTACATTATATTCATATGGCACTTCCTTTGTAAAATGACATAATTGTACAATCATTAAACACGCGAAAAACATGATCCACTAACTCCGAAGGTTACTGATGTTTTGTTAACTTAATTTCAAATGAACCGAATGTATTGTTTTTATTTGCCTTTACAAACACTATTATTAAAAAAAAAAAACAGATATATGATGTCTTCTGCAATAAAAAATATGTATGTTGCAGAAATTTTAACATGTTCTCACACTATTATTCATTATAACTTACAATACAGAAATCAATAAATTATATTAAAAAAAGGAAATTTTGAAAAGTCACTACTTAAAGGAATATAATTAATGCTATTGTTAATTCTGTTAGTATGTTTATTTTCAAAACGACCAAAAAGTAAACATACATCACTAATAGTTGGAACTCAAATATTTCATAGATCGCATATCTGTGGAATTGTATATTGCACATTTGTTTCTGCGCTTTAGAATCAAATGTACCGCGTGGCGCGCGAGAACGGACAAGCACGGTTGCCGTAAGTCAAAATTTGCTTCTTTTATTATTTTTATTACCGCATTCGTAATTTTTACAAATACGAACTATACTTGCATAATTGATAAATACATAATCTCATACTGAACTGGAACAGAAACTTGATAATTCATTCAATACCTGAATCCAATCAATAAAACTTTTTTTAAGTTCAACTATATACAAGTATTTTTACAAAGTGATTTTCTTTATCGACTGACGGCTTCCTATTTTTGATTCTGTTAATATACAAATCAAGTCACAGCACTTCTCATATTTTTCTTGTGTATTATTGAAAACACACCTAAATAGTGTAAGCCAATTCTTTGTTGTTTAAGCCAATATTACAAACAAAAAAAAAAACAGAGAATTGATGTGGCTTGTTGGCGCGAAACATACTTGGCAAGCAAATTTTCCATAGCATACACTTTCTGGGAAACTGTTTAACAGCATCAATATGGACCAGAACAAATACTGTGTTTCAAATAACCTTGTGCCAGCTATTAACATATTGATTGACTTTCTTTCACAGATAATGTCTGGCAGAAATATATTCGTTGCTTCGACATCAGTTTATTCAAAATGCCATCGTGCAATCAGAGATGCATACAACAGATAGATAAGATCGCAGCGAATAGTTTTTGCCAACAATATAAATGTATGAGGAACAGTACAGCATCATTTCACTGACTAACGTGCATTTCTGTGTTTTCTGTCTTGTTGATAGCGTTTGGCAGATTCCCGACGACGATGACAACGTTTACCCAGGGAAGCTACACATGTATGCGATTCACCAATCTGAGTAATCCAACAAATAGCGCGCGTCTCTAACAAAGCTTCAGAACACCGAAAACAATTGCAGACATTCAATTCGCGTTTGAAGCTTTGTCAAAATTATTACAATTAATGTGAGCAAGAGAATTTGCGCGTAGAAGCTGCGCTCCGATGCCTAGAAGGATCTATGTCTACACAACACAAATACCTTTTGTACCTAATATTATTTCACACAAGATGGACACACTTTATTATTCTGCAAAAATTAGAAACATTTTCAAGTATACAGAATATTTGAAAACACATTTTGATTTTGAATATTATCTTATAAATTTACAAGATTGATGTTTTTTTTTATACTTTATGATTATATTTGAAAACTTTTTGTAAAGTTGGAACAAATGATTTCACTGAAATTCGTACCATAAATTTTTTTGCATACAAATTGGGTCCATCTGCGAATTCTCAAAAATTGGCAAAGTTAAAACACAACTTTATGAACTGTTATTAGTTTTTTCTGGTTATTACAATAGTCGGACACAACCTAAAAACGTTGTGTGTTCTATGTTTTATTTAAAAACATTTTTTTTTCACAGTGTGTGAAAGAATTTATTATTCGCATTGACGAATAACATTTATCAGAACTTCATTTCTATTATTGGTTTCGTGAAGACATCTTTCATGGGTTGTGAATAACTAGTAGAACATCATCCTTTTGCCAACTTGCCAGTGCTAATTTCTTTTAGTTCCAGAAACTATATTCTTTTCAGGAGTAATAGGAGCTTTATTTCAGACGCATTTTGGCAAACTGGATTACGATTCTTCCAACCCCATTCCCAGTTCCTTTATCCTAAGAATTTATGATTGCGCGAACTCTGGTGCAACATTCTAAAAAATCAATTTTTCCTTCTGATTTTATATTAATATCAATTCGTTCAAATTTCTTATCACCACATAATTATTTAACACTAAAACATTTATGTATTTTTAACAAGATACAAGATTATATGATTTTCTCATTTCTTTTCACCGTTAAATTGTTCGGTATATGGACGATTAATAATATCAAACACACATATACAGTAAATATGACTGCTTATCAATATAAAATGATGCACCGTAGTTATTCGATCCGATGGATTTCTTTATTTCACAATATTAGTCTTTCTGTTCCTCGGATAATGTGAAGGATTTGATATAGCAAACGAAGTAAAGAAAAAATAGCGCCATCGGACGATGTGTTTTTATGCATGTTACAAATTTAAGTAAAATTATTGCTCAAAGCAGTGGAGGCCGTTTCATAAATTTAATGAACTGCATAATCGCGCGCGCGCTCATAAACCTCGTATTTCACCGTTTATTAAGATCAAATACTGTGTCCTTGGGATAGGGTTCTCCAATGGCTGGAAAGAAACTTTCATGAGCGGAGACCAAGAACCATGGGTTTTCCGTGGAGGACTTACAGCTGATCTGCAGGTGATTTAAGTTGCTGTACCCGTTTTTTTTTCTTTATATATATATACATATATATATATAAAAAAAATATTCTGTGACCACAGAAGTATTAACAATCCATTCATTCCTTTTCAGAGATTAATTCCAGTGGACAGTGGAAATGATCTATTCGTTTATAAAGCACCAGAAGTGCCCAGTAGTAAAATCTATACAATTAGGCCTTACGTAGCGAGCGACGAGGCAGCAGTTTATGCTGTGTGCAATAAAATTTGTGGCTGTACATTGTCGTCCGCAGTGGCTGATAGGTACAGAAAATATTTTTACGTGCTGTATTAAATTACAGTTGACCATACGAACCTGACATGTCAGAATTATTTATTGCTTCTTACTTTTACTATAGGTTGGTTGGCAGTTTCCTAACTTTGAGTCCAGAACTCTGTATGGTTGTCGAAGACGAAAGTGGTATAGTGGGATACGCATTGGCTACCTTAAATGTTAAGACTTTTAATCAGAAGCTGTCTGTTTCTTGGTTACCCGAGTTGCGTATGAAGTACCCATTAGAGGACAGTATAAATGATATGCCACAAAATATTCAGGTATATATAAATATATTTAATTAGCCTTTACTGATTCAATTTCTGGAACGTATTAACTACTGAAATTCCTTTTTAGGATGCCGTACGATCCTTTCATTCAATCGTCCCGGACGTGTCTGAACAATTGTGCAGACAACACCCATCGAAACTTTTGTGTACAGTATTACCGTGTCTGGCAGATCAATCGGTCCCTAAAAGACTAATCACGTGCATTCTTGCTGCTCTGAGAGCGAATGGTAAATACTTTATGATGAAATTATCGCGGATGCAAAAATTTATTTGAAGCTGGATCGGAACCTCTAATATTCGCAGGTTCCTTTGGTGTACATACCACAATGCCAAGTACAGACAAGGAGACGTACGACTTTTATAGTAAACTGGGGTTCGTAGACTTGAACCCGGCGCACGAGGAACACCCCGAAATTAAAACTATGTGTAGAAGTTTCTAACAAAGAGTGAGTACACCAGTGATATTTGTGAATAAAGTATATTTGCTCGGACCATCTTCGAAGAAAACCTCTACGGTTTAGAAGTATTCAACTTCGAAAACATTTCTGTCTATTCTATGTCATAAGGAAAAAAAATAATTCATCGAAAGAAATTAATAACCTTTTTTTTTTTTTTTCGAAAAAAAAACAAGACAGAAAGTAGAAAGGGGTACACATTACACGTTCACTGATGAAACGTACGTGTTTTCAAAATACTGTTCCAGAATATCGGCCTTCTTAATTTAGAAAATCACCTAAATGTGTTTTAACTATACATGCGTACATGTGATGTACATACAGTATAAGTTGAATGGCAGTAAATGTCTATTATTTAACGACTAGAGAACGTGGAGACAAATGTGAAACGTGCAATAGTAAGAATTAATGAAGCAAAGCGACATAAAATACTGGGGAAAAATACAAGTATGTTAATTTTATAAAAATTCGCAATTGTGTGTTACAATGCTATGGGATTTCAGAACATCCCCAATGCTTGTGTATTGATAGGAAGGTTTCTTAAGAAACATGTATATAACGTGTTGAATAATGTACGGTGGTAACATGCCAGTATGTGTGTTCAAGTGATAAACTGTCGAAGCTTTTAAACCAATTGAATGATATTTTCTTATCAGATCAAGTGTGTGGATAATTGAGAACATGATAAGACAAAACTTGGCTTCGCAGACTACTTGTTACAAGATTACGAGGAACAACGTCTAGCTTTAATGTCCAGTTCGAGTTTCTTAATGAAAGCTACCTAATCCATAGGTATTTTACTGTCCCGTAGTAAAATTTTCGCTGCGATGTGTACATAGTTGATCTTTAATACGCCTATAATGAGGCCCTTTTATGTTCAATATTATTGTTCTAATAGTATTGTTTTTAATTACCGAAATATCGTTAAAACTACCGACTTCTAATTATCCTTATGTTTGCAATATATACATACATATAAGTGTCGTGTATATATTGCCACAGAATGTGATATGTAGAATCGTCTGGAAAAGTAGTAATTATTTCATTATCATTCAAATGTAACGAAGCAGTTAATTATTTGTAATCCTAACAATATGAGTTATACATTTTATATAATCGCTTATTTTAATAATAGGCTTATTACAATCAATAGTAACTGAATCCTGAAACATATGAAATAATTAATGTTTCGGGAAAAACAACCTCAGCAAACTCTGAATCACTACCAAATTAATGACACTTAGATTGTTGCATTGCTGATTAGATACTAACAAATTAATTGTCTGTACTGTCTTGTATGTGTCAATCTATCAAATGTACAGAACCAGGAACATAGAAAGTATAACTACGGATAAATGACGAACACATGCGCGCGCGTGCACACACACAGCACACATTAAACACACATATAAATGCCTGAGGTGAAATAAAAATGGAGATTTTTAGATATTTGCCTTATAACTATTAACTATACGGTACTATTATAAATGCAGTTATGTCGTGAACTGCGGTGTAAATATTGATTCCGATCAACATGGAACTATACTAGTATTTGATGTAGTGCCATGGTGCAAAAGAAATTCGATCATCGTAAAAATTGGCTGCGTCATTCGAATCTATTTTAATTCCGATCGCCACTTTGTAAGATTTTTATACTCGCTATATTTTCACGGTGATCGAATACAAAAAAAAATAGTACTTCTGACGGGAAGACTGGAAAATGTCATTTTCTTTATATTGTCCTCCGTACTCACGGAGTCATTGAAATTACTTCACTGCTGTATTTTTCTCATACCAAATATATTAATACATTTTTACAGAAGAATTACTATAAATGATTTTAAGATACTGTTTTTGTAAAATAAGATATTTTTTAATGCGTACGTTTTCTTTTGTGATGTTTCTTAAGTATCGAAGATCCTTATGATATGCGTACAATATTTCCAGTTGTCTCGTTACGTATTTGTAAGTAATATATGTGTAGTTAATACTATGAAACAATATATCATTACTACTGATTTATTTAAATAAAAAAAGTCAAGACTGATACATTTGGCGTAATTGAAATTAAAAATAATCGAATGACTGTACTGTAAAGTGATAATGATTTTCGCTGAAATTACTGTAATTTGTTTAATTCTTGAGAGACACTATTGCAATGTCGTTGTATTTTCGCAAGTTTCGAATTTCATCTTGGAATTGTAACATCTAAAATTTTAAGAAAATGTATGAAATCAGTACGATTAATAAAATGTCCTTTTTTCTGTAATGATTGTAAAAGTTCTATTTAAGTCATACGTAGTACAGTCTGTCTAGTCATGTAATAATTCTTACTAGACAGACTGTAAGTACCTTTTCTATATCTTTCTGTAGTAAGTTTTGTTTAGTTCTTGGAGTTACTGTATCCACAATTTTTGTTTCTAGATTATTCAACGTTTCCAGCAGTTCGTCGATTTTTGCATTAATATCCCTACAATAAAGGTGTACTCAAATATAATTTCTTATAAAAATATTTCACTATTTGATAGTTATAACAGTTTTTCACTCACTCTGGTTGATTAAATTTCTGTTTATCTTTTCCTTTTGATCTTAATGTTCCCTAAAATCAATATAGGTAATTATCAATTTTTATGAATAAACCTTTAAAGACAAATCTCACCAATTTGGCTCTCTGTTTAAATATGGAAGCATAATCTTCTATATCAAATCCAAAAGGAATGTCATCTACAAAATTAACAGTTTATACAATTTCTTACTCAGTGATAAAAAAGAAAATAGAATTCAGTATAGTACCTTCATTTCTTTTGATTGCTTTTTCCATAGCTATGTTAAAACTTCTTCTATCTCGTCTCCATTCTTTTAAGACACTCTCATCCCTGAGTAACAGTTAAATTATTGTAAATTCAAATAACTGTTTTTTGCATGAAATATTAACATTAACAATATAGAAATTCGTACTTTAGTTTCTGAAGTATTGAAGCTTGCTTGATAAACAGATCTTTTACTTTGGAATACCATAGTAGGCGATGTTCCATTGAAGCATTTGCACCTTTACTTTCACATCTAAATCAATCATAAGAAATAAAAAAATAATCTTAGATTCATGATAACCATAACTTCTTTATTTATGTAACTCTATACATATGTGACTACTATCTTATAGATACGTAATTTTCCAATTATGCGCATAAAGGAAAGTACTACTTATTTATTCTTACATAATTTTCCAAACAGGATAACATCCAGTCTGCACTATTTAATCTCATTGGATATAACTTAAATCGTTTTCTATCATTGGTAATAATATCAAAAAAATGTTCAAGATTTTCAGTACTATCATATTTTCTACAATTATTCATCGATAAATAATTATTTTCTATGCTTGAAGGAACAATATATGCAAATTTGTTGACAGGTAACTTAACTCTACAGTCCCTCTTTATGGGTTTAATGTATGTTTTCAGTGTCTTTACATTTTGCCTCACATAGAGAGACCTTGGAGATGGACCCATTAATCGCAAAATTTTATTATTTATGTTATCAATTTTACTGTTGAAACAGGGATCCATTTTATTTCTACATTCACTCGCAATTCTTTTAAAACATTTTTTTTGCTTATTCATGTTCACTGATATGTTATTCTTGGTTGTACTATTTAGTTGTTGTAAGCAGGGGTCACAAAGGAATGTTGAATTCTTTCTATATGAACAGCTGTTTGTTAGACAAGCAGATTTATTAATATTGTACCTGTTACTAGGTTTGTAAAACTTGCATTTTCCTCTGACAAATGCATTTCTGTCGTGGACTTGTATCTTGGGAGATGCAATTTTCTTCTTGGATTTTCTTGGGGACTGGTAACAGAGAATGGTTGACAATTTTGGCTCAATTTTGTCTGAAACATAAAATAAAAATTGACATCTCGGTAAATTTCCAGAAAGCTAATGCACTTACTTTCCTTGAACTCTACTTGGCAATCAGGGTATGCTTTGTTCCATTCTTTTCTTAAAAATTCCAAAATTACTGGAAAGCCTGAGGCTACAATATCTTTTGATGGTATAATAATAGGGTTGTGTGCTACCTGTAGAGTTTTTAATTTTGGGAGAGTACCTGGATTAATGGAAACCAGATAAATATTTCTGTGTGAAATACTCAATGTGGATAGTAATATGTTAAAGTACAAAGTAATGTATCCATAACACATTCGGGACCGACATATTATTACAAGAATATTCCCAAAAACCGGCAATATTTAAGCACCATCTGTATGTGACTCACATGCTGAGTATCAGCTAAACAGATGGGCTATTGCAGGACTCATATGCTGGGTCATCAGTCTCGAACGTGTCAAGGTATATACTCTGTCCTAGCAATAATTGCAATTCTAATCTCCCTAATCTTCTTCCCTTAAGCAAACTGAATATACACAATCACATTAACTTGTGGACTAAAAAGTATTTACGCCGTTTACTGCTTAGTGTGTACATATGTATAGGGTGATCTTCCCGCTGCGTAAGATCAAACTTCGCGGTTGTTTAGAGCGGCACGATCTTTGCGATCGGTTTGCGCAGCAAGATGATCACCCTGTATATGATACATGTATATAGCTTACAGAGTACCAGTGGCAGTTCCTCTATTTTATTTGCCTGAAGAAGAAGCGTTTCTATACATGGATGCGATTCAATGCTGTTTGGCAATGATGAAATTTGATTATTCCTGATATCTATCCACTCTAGATGTCTCAAAAACGTGAAAACTTCATCTGGAAGTTCCATTAAACTATTGCCAGCCATGTACAGCATCTACTAGCAACAAGAAAAATATTTATAATGATGATTAACTAAATTGTATCATATGAATTGTAGACCAATTTAATAAAATTATGTACTTGAAAAGGAAAGATACCCTTAACTGTGAGAACTTGTTTAATATTTCATTAGGAAATTGTTTAAGTTCGCTATTTGAGAAATCTGCGAACGTTTCGTTGCAGATACTTTTTTTTTTCGATACTGGTGGCAAAGGTGTACTGGTTTTCGAAGATTTTTGCGATTTTCTCAGTGTCATGCCAGAGACATCAGAAATGTTATCTGGAAAAGTATCCTCGGTGGAAGTTAAACTCAAATCACTTCCGTTTGCGTCTTTCGGATAATTCTCTGTTGTAACAAAGACTGGAATGATATTTGGAGATTCTTCACGTTCCGTCGGAGACTCTGTATGTTTTGTGTTACACACAGCATTTTCTCTAACGTCAATTTCAAAGATATCCGAGTTTTCATTGGAATCATAAGCATCTTCTATATTATCAAAAGCTCGTGATAGTCTTCGATACGTTTCGTCTGGAATACTCAGTTTCCGGTTATCATCATTACTCTTCTACAAAGATATCTTCACTGTAATAACTTCTGATTTTTTAAAAATAAAATTTGTACACATTCACAAATAAAAGAACAAAAACTTTGTCTTTTTTTTAATGCATTGGAATACCTGGCAGCCATCCTCAGATGCACTTGCCTCGTTGGAGGTAACAGATGTATGCTCTACAACCTGTTTCTCATCTTCATTTTTGGTATTTTCAACAGATTCGTGAATTGATAAGAATCTTTTGCCGGTCGATTCTGAATTAAGTCCGTAATACCGTGTTAACAAATTCCTTGCTAGATCAGACATTTTGCAGGACCATCCGTGGATTCGATATTTACTCAAATAATGTATTTATTTCTGGACACTAAGAAGCAATAGATTTGACAGTTGTCGGTTAGGTCGATAATAGTTCTTGTTTATCCATTGTCTAGGTTACGTACTTATAAGGTATTTAATGAATTCTTCAACAATATCGAACAACAGAGAATCTGCCGAAGATTGAGTAATAATTAAATATGTACATAATACATATTTCGTTATTTACGCAACATTTTTAACGGAGTCTTCACAACGCAAAAATACTTGCCATTATTAGGATGATATAATATATCTTCCAGAGAAAGCGGCAAACATTATTCGAACACGTTACAACTGCATTTACTGCAAATAAATCGAATTGCTTATAATTTAAAATAAGACTTAAGTAAACTCATGGATAATCCAGGATCAAGTACAACAAATACAAATAACCTCTGCAAACTGTAAGGATTATAACGATAACCTTAAAATGTATTTTTACTAACAAGTTTTAGTTTTAAAAATGTGTGAAAATTACTTTTAAAGTGATTAAAGGAAATATTAAGTCGGTGCAAAAGCCTTAATTTGTTTACACTAAAAGGAAACATAATGTCATACAAAATAGATTTTTTAATCAGTTATATGATCCTAAGTCATTTTACATATAAATTTATAAAAACTTTTGTAATAACCCAATACAGTAACTAGTATTTCCTTTCTAATCATATTTTCAATTACAGTTGCAATGAAAAACCTCGGGCATATACTTGTCCTAGGTGTGGTACAGGATATTGTAATGTTGATTGTTATAAATCTGAAGCCCATTTAGAATGCTCAGAAAGTTTCTACAAACAGTGCATACTAGATGAATTGAAATCTCAGGAAGGAGATCCAGTATCCAAGAATAAAATGCTTGAAATTCTAAAGAGAGTACATGAGACAGATTTAAATAACGTTGATTTAGAAAACTATGGTATTAGTGATGAAGAAGAGGATGGAGAACTAGAAGAACAATTGGATTCAGATGACGAAGAAGATGTAAATGAAGCTTATATTTCTAAGAGTATTTTTTTCATTTCTATTTAATATAACATCTTGATTTTTTAAATTGACTGTAGATTCCAGACTTAGATAAACGAATGCAAGATGTGAATCTGGATGATGCAGATGATGTATGGTCAGCATTAACAGATGCTGAAAGACAAGAATTTGAAGCTTTAATAAAGAATGGTCAAATAGAAACATTGTTACCTCAGTGGGTTCCATGGTGGACTTATCATACTAAGAAAAAACTTGTGCAAGATATGGATGAAAAAGACAGTAGGCAAGAAAAGGAATACCCTTCTTTAATTGATGTTCCTATATTCAATGAATTGCAGGTAATAGATTAATTGAAATTACAGTGTTCCTTAATGTTAATAATTAATTGTACTAAGTATTGTTTCATTACTCACAGAAAGCTTCTTCAAACGTTCATTTTAATTTGGTAAATGTAATCTATGCATATGCATATATGGCAAATTATTACAATGGTGACTACTTAAACTGTTCGGTGGAAGCTACAGTTGTCTTTATTGATCTCTGTGATAACATGAAATTGAATAAAGTATATAGTGGCACAGAATCAGCAATAACTTCTGTTGTTCAGAACATTATCAGTGTATGTATTACTATAGTTTGTATTGTTACTGTCTGTAATAGTTCATATATATATATAAGTTCAAGGAAGCAGCAAATTCAATAATACAAGGTCCAGAAGAAAGTAATAAATACTTTTATGTTGCAGTTGCACTTTCTGAATTGTACAGATTAATAACAATAGCAAAAGAAGAACTATCTAAGCACAAAAATAAAGCTGGGAATAAAGAATTTTCGAAAAAGTTTGTACAAAGATACAATATGAATAATATAAATGTAACAAAAAAATCTCTTCTATTGTATTGTAAAAAATTAGAATATTACTTATCATGGATTAAAAGTCGTCATGTACATACGAAAATGTAAATAGATACAAATAAAGTTTTTTAGTGCTTTTTTAATATCGAGTTTCCAATTTTAATTACACTCAGTTTAGTCCAAGTACCCTGGAATACAAAAGTTTTAATATTTTATTTGTCCAAGAATTCGCGGCGGTAAAGCGATTTATGTAAGATTGAAAGGTACTAATATCACAGACGAGATAGAAAATAGGCTTATCATCTTATGGGACTTTGTGTCTCATGTTCTAAAATACCGATCGTGCAAACAGTCAGAGATTTTTTGCTGCCCTCTACGTTATGAGAACGGTGAATTTGTGAATTACAGTAGAAGCCCAATAATTGAGTGTCCGTCAATTGATCACTAGGAACGCCCCTCGCTCCAACGTATCCCTCGACAAGTTGAAAATTTGAACAGAAATATAGCCACATTCCTTAAAATTTTCTCTACAAAATACGAATCTTCGAGCATGGTTTTTCTTATCAGTCATGCCTCGTCTGTGGTGGTGCGAACAGATTATATGTATACAAAACAAGAAATTCTTGCCACTTGCAGCTAGCCAGTAAAGAAACTAACAACAAGAATCAATTAATCAAAATGAGCAAAAGCTCGCAGCCAATTGGCTCATATTATTTGCTATATAATTCGTCAATTTATAGGTGATTATAGTTGCCAATTACCATATATACCAAATAACAATGATTGCCCAGGTCTCACCACGTGGAGGTTGATGCGAATGGAGACCCAAGGAGGATAAATGGAATCACATGCGTTCCACATCTATCCCCCTTTTACAGTAATTTTTGAACATTCACAAAATTAGCACTCAACAACTTAAACTAAACACAACGCAGAAACTAAAACTAACATGGACGTAGCCAGGAGGGGCACTTGCCCCGCCCCCCTGGACGGAAAAAAATTGCATTGTTTCCCCCTGACTGATAACCTGGCTATGCTCATGGAAACTAATGTTCAAATAACGCAGATATTTTTTAAACCTGTTCGGCTTTATGATAATCCTTGGTTGATGAGAAACCTTCATATACTGATCTTTGTTTTATGTTTTATGTCACTTTGACGCAAAAATCTATCCGTCGCGAAACGCCTTCTTGTACATGCCTGTCACGTCTCATACATCAGTCAAAATACACTACTCAATTTTTATTTCTGTCGTCGAGTAACGTGGTAGTACGCATTTCTGATATCATTTAGTACAAATTGTTAATGTACAATTGTAGATACAGTATTAAAAATATTAATGAAGACAAATATTAATCTTAAAGTACTTCACAGTAAACTGGTATATTATATACTGTATTCAAATAGTAAATAAATTTACGTTATATTAATTTCGTTATTTATCTACAAATGATGGTATAACTGTTGAAAATAATAATTAAGACACTAATGGGTGAAATAAAATTTTATTAAATACTAACTATCATAAAAATTAACTCTAATACCAAAGGTGTCCGAATGCCGCCCACGAGCTACAAGCAATTACAAGCTTCCCCTCGTAGGTTTCCCCGACTACCGACCTCAGATTGACTCGAGCGAGTCAATCCAAGTCCCATAGTGAGGGTACCTCCGGAGGGGAAGAATGCTGCGCATAAGTAGTAGATGGACAACTCTGGGCCTACCGTTTTTAATGGACAGAATACAAATACTCAATCCTTCTGAGTACATACGTCTACCATACAAATATTTTCATACACAACACATGCTGGTGAAACACTGTAGTACCTTCCCTGCATTTAACGCGCACACTCCATTAAAGTGGTCGTGAGTACACACCAGTACGTCTCGATACTCTACCCGTGTACGCAACCGTATGCGTTCTTTGCCATTGGCAACGAAAACACCGGCCACGATAACTGGAAATCGCAATGCACTTTTCAATGGTCATACATGCACAACGTGTTAAATTATTCCATAACACGCGGTTTTTCACTAGGGCGTGCATATCGATGCACAGGTGACATAACTTAATGCGTCTTCTTTTTATGCACCAATACAGTAAAACCTGTTTTTATGCGGTAGATAGGGACCGCATAAAAGAAACCGCACAAAAAAATATTCGGAAATTTCATAAATACTACATATAATAAACAACTTTGTACGACATACTACAGAAATTTTTTTTTATGCGGCGGAGAGGGACCGCATAAAAAAAGTCGCACTTAGAAAATACGTCAATTATTTACGAAATACATGAGAAAGTGCTTCCAAACAAAATAAATAATTAAATTACACATTATAAAA